GGCCAAGAAAGTGGGAAGCCTCAGGGGCCACCTGACAAATACTCATAGATGGATTCAACTCCCTATTTCTCTTCATATATATTGAATTTTCCCTGTATATGTCTCATGTCCCCTTTTAGGTATGTCCAAGTTAGCTGCAGAATTATTGCTCTAGTAACAAGGTTATATTCTGCAAATTAGAGAGATTTTTCACTATTTTACAATGTATACTTGATATATAGAGTTTGAGTGGATTCTAAATCCAGTCACATTATAAGAGATTATGTTTGCCGATGGGAAAATTTTACTTGCAAATATAGAATTGTGGCAAAAACTGTTTAATTTTTTTTTATCAGCTACATGTATAAACTGTTTTCATCAACAATGATTACCAAGAACTTGAAGAGACTTGTTCAGGAACTGTACACAGTGATTTTAGTCATAAAACCCTAAATAAAAGTGTTGAATTAACAGAAGAAATTTCAGGTTTTTCATCAAAATTTTTAGAAGATTTAATTTATAGCTTATACAAATTCAATATTTAATATCCTTAATACACTAATTTTATTTTCTCATTAAAAGTATATGATTGGGGCTGAGATTGTGGCTCAGCGGTAGAGTGCTTGCCTAGCATGTGTGGGGCCCTGGGTTCAATCCTCAGCACCAATAAAAATAAAATAAAGATATTCTGTCCAACTACAACTAAAAAATACATTTAAAAAAATGATTTATAAAAAAATGTATGATATAAGTCAGGTGTGGTGGTGCATGCCTGTAATCCCAGCAGCTCAGGAGGCTGAGGAAAGAGAATCATGAGTTCAAAGCCTGTCTCAGCAAAAGCTGTCTCTAAATAAAATACAAAATAGGGCTGGAATGTGGCTCAGCGGTTGAGTGCCCCTGAGTTCAATCGCCAGTATCCCAAACACACACCAAAAAAAAAAAAATATATATATATATATATGATATAGGGCTGGGGCTGTAGCTCAGTGGCAGTGTGCTTGTCTAGCATGTGTGAGGCATTGGGTTCAATCCTTCGCCACATAAAAATAAACAAAATGAAGGCATGCTGTCTATAAACACCTACCAAAAAATGTTTTTTAAAGTATATGACATAAAGAAAACATTTTCTTTTTTACCAAGCCCCATATAGTTGTCTCCAAATCCCCTTTAATTTATCCCAGTGTGCTGTACAAATATTATTTCTGTGGATGTCATGATATGAATAAAAGGTTGACAACTATTGTTTTAACCTGCAAATGGATTCTTACCCTGAGCTTCCTCAATGTATTTTGTGAGTTTATGAAATATGCAAGAACATTTTTCTGGAAAAAAGGTCAATAGTTTTCATTAGATTCTCAAAGCTTAAGAATCAGATGATCTGAGGCTTTTCAAGTAATCCTCAAAGAAGTAATGATACAAGGGTTAAATGGACTCCAGAGATACAACAAGCCCTCCAGTACTATGGGTATAAAGAGTAAAGTTGCTATAGATAGAAAAGGACTTTGGTTTTTTTTGGCTCCATCTTTGGGGAATTCTGTTTTGGTCTCTCTTAAATTTAACTAGCATAGTAAGAGGATCCTAGGATCTTTAATAGTAGCTACCACCTCTTAGATCACCAGAATACCAAGCAAGAATCAGGGTGAAGCCCAGGGAAAAGTAAGTATAAATGGCACAGCGAGAATAGATTTCAAATGTTCAGATGTGATATAGCATAGTTCAGAAAGTGGCTATATTGGAATCTATAGCCAAAATCCGAAAGCCAATATCATAAAAAGTACATTTGCCCAGACTGTCTCCTCTGTGTTTCTATAGAAGTTTGTACACATTTAGACTTCTCCTATATATGTATATATTTCTCCGGGGGTGACTAGCAGAGTGACTGAAGCCAGTAAATTATACTGCAATTATTTTTTACTTGTTTTTTCCTGCTCACAGGTTATCAGACTCTGACAGGTAGATAAACATTTATTTTTATCTTAAAGCAATATCTAGTATATAACACACACTTATATTTCTTAATAATAAATTAATAAACATGCACCAATAATTTTTAAATCTTAGTTTCCTTTGATGGTAATATACTAGGAAGAGATATATCCCTTGCAAATTATTAAGCTAACTTCCTGATACAAACTTAATGTGAATTTGGGTATCTTATAATCTAATTTTGACGGGAATCTCATCGTCTTAGATATGTTGAACAAAAATGTTCTATAGTTATCTACAGATGAGACATGTCTTGACCACTAATCTGTTAAAAAAGGTATGAATCATGTCTTTTTGTTCTTTTTATTCCTTTTTTGCTTGAAGCTATTTTCTGCACATAGGGTACATTCAACAAAAGCTGACTGAACTTGGAACAAACTATAGGAAACAGAAAGTTAATTGCATGTAGGGCTTTGCAGTTTATACTTTACTATACGTTATCTTACTTGATCATAAGAATCTTATGAGTTATGGTTCCATCTTGGAGATGAAGAAGTTAAAACTCAAAAAGTTCAAGTAATTTACCTAAGGATATACAAAGCTAGAACTGGAAATTAGGTCTCCTGACTTCTATGGTAGTGCTCTTTCTAACTCTAAGATTAATGGAATGAAGCTTCTCACCTTCCAGATGGATTCATCACAACTTACTCTCACCCCTAACCTGTGTTGAGGATCAAATTCAGGCCTTGCTAGGCAAGTGCTTCACCATTGAGCTGAATCCCCAGTCCCAGATGAATTTCTTTCTTTCTTTCTTTTCTTTTCTTTTCTTTTTTTTTTTTTTTTCAGTACTGGAGATTGAACCCAGGGCACTAAATCATCGAGGACATTCCCAGCCCTTTTTATCTTTTATTTCCACACAGAATCTCACTAAATTACCCAGAGTGGCCTTGAACTGGTGATTTTCCTGCCTCAGCCTTCTGAATTGCTGGGATTCCAGGTATGTACCACCACACCCAGTCCCAGTTGAATTTTTTAAAAAAAATTTTTAGTTGTAGTTGGACACAATACCTTTATTTATTTTAATGTGGTTCTGAGGATCAAACTCAGGGCCTCACACATGCTAGGCAAGCGCTCCACAGCTGAGCCACAACCCCAGCCCCAGTTGAATTTCTTAAGAAAGTGTTAGTACACATAAGTAGATAATCAGTATTGTCATTCCTAAATCAGTAAAAGAATCAAGATACATTACTAAGACCTATTGCTTTGAGTAATCCTTTTTCTAGAATAATACTTTAGTTTATAACCACATATCTCATTTATATGAGATCATTTAGCTTTCAACTATATTTCTTGGCTCTGTACAATAGCTTCCTGTTTGGTCTCAAAAGCAGTAGTTCAAAGTTCTTACTTCTGAACCTTGCCTTTTCTTTTCCTGTTTACTACCTCGCTCCAGGAAAAACAGATTGTTTAATCTGTGAACCATACATCTTTGTTTAATTTTGTCTCGCAGGCACTCTTGATCACCACCAGGGGGCAAAAGCCTACCAGCTGGCTTCCCTGCAATACAGCCCATATAGGACTGTGCAGTACAGGGACCCTCAGTGTCTGATTCGTGATGGAACCTCCCTGCTAATTATTTCAACCACAGGGCCCCAGGGAGAGAACAAAGGCTCAGCACAGAGGGCTCTTGTGGCACTTAACTGTACAGCAACCAGAAAGAGCTCATGACAGCCCTGTGAGTTTAAAAGGAGCAGAGATCCAAGAGTGTTTGAGGGACAAACAGGAGGAGGTGGGCTTTAATAGCTGCAAACTCCTGAGTGTGTGTGTTTTCAACAGCTTTGATATGTATGGGGGTGTTTACCAGCTCATCCACTCAAATGGAGAAAAAGCTTTGTCAACTCTGTTTCTCAGTGTAAATAACCAGTGGTATTTGCCTTGTGTGATTTCTTTTTAATCTTGATTTTCCATTACATTCTTTGCTTAGGTTCCGTCAACGGTTTATCTTTTAGAAAACTGTTCCTTTAATGCATGTACAAATATGTAACAACAAATTCTAGCGTTACGTATAATTATAATGTATCAATAAAACCTGGAAAAAATGTTTACAATTATTCCTTTGAGATTTTTTTTATTCGACATTGTCACTCATTTGACCATAAAACAATGAAATACTGAGTCGAAGATGAAAGTTCAACGAGCAAATCCTGTTTAATTGGCAGAATTTCTTCACAGCAGGATGTAAATGGGAAGTAAATAGCAGGTTGGACCTTTACAACTCTGTGAGCCCAGCTTTCTCGGCCTCCAGGCTCACTCACAGCTTCTTCCACCTTAGGAATAATGAATGACTTAATAGAAAATCGAAGAAGCATGAGGGTACCATGAAGTTTTCCTGGGTTTACAAAAGAAAATCTTACAAAAAGTCTCATTAAAAAAAAAAAATGGACAGAAGGGTGAGAAAGCTCAGATTCCCCCGTCCCCCAAAATCCAGGTGAAAGGGGGTAAACTGGTCTCATGGGCTCGCCCAGCCTCATCCACACCCAGTGAAAGCATCTAAAATCCCGCGGAGTCCTTTCCCACCGGAAAACGCGCTTGGCCTCTGGATTTTCGCCTCGGTTTCTTTTCTCGCAGGTTGGTTAGGCTGTGCGCCCCACCTCATAAAATGGTCGTCTCTTAGGAGTGAGGACTCCGGCAGCCCCCGCCCGGAGACCCCTCAATGGGCTGGTTTCCGTCGGCCGCTTCCGCCTACCCCACCCTATTGCACCCCACTCCCCCTTCACTCTGCAGCACCCCGCGCGGTCCGGGCGGCTACGAAGGAAACCCGCGAGGGGGCGGCGGCCCGGGGCGCACGCACCCGGCCTGCTTCCGGCAACTCAAGGGTTACGACAAGGCGGCGGCGCGCGCCGAGGGGAGAGGCGGTTGCTGACAGGTGGCGCCTGCGCACTGGGAGTGCTCATTGTGCCCCGCAGCTGCCGAACCGCCCGCCCGCCCGCCAGCCGCCCGTTCGGCGCGTCAGTCTGCGAGAGTACGGTGGTGGGTACGGAGCGTGCAGCCGTTCCCGCGGCCTCCTCTTCCTCTCCGTTCTCCTCACTCCTACCCCGCACCCCTTTCCCTCACCCCGGCTCCGTCACCTTCCCGCCCCCCACACTCAGGACAAGAATGCCCTGTCCGGAACAACCCAGCAGCGCCTAGATGGCTTTGGTCACGGTCCAGCGGTCGCCTACCCCCAGCACCACCTCCAGCCCTTGCGCCTCGGTGAGTCCCTCCCGGCGGTCACTCCGCTTGCTTCTGTCACTGCGGCTCCGCTTTGCCTCAGCGGGTCCCGCCGAACGCCACTGCGCACGCGCCGCGCCTCTTCCCAGGCCTTGGCACTCCGCTGCCGCGAACCCCCCACGCCATCGTCTTAAAGACGAGCAGCTGGAACTACAAGACATTGATTTTTTTTTTTTTTTGCCCGCATCAACCTGAGCGCCCTGCCCCTCACAGTCCTCTCCCTGAAATCCCCCTTGGCATGCCTTCCTATAGCTTGAGCACTTCCTTTCGGGAATGAGTCATTCTTGCTTTTCACCCTCCCCCCTTCTTTACCTCTGTTGCTCTGATGCAGGGAGGGGACCTGGGGAACTCCTGCGTTGCCCCTTACCCACATCCATATGCTCTTACCCATACCATTTCAGGGACCCGTTCAGTATTTGCACACTGCACACCCTTTTTGGGACTCTCTGGGATGTGTGCATTCCCTCTAGTCACTTGCCTTTTTTCTTGTACTCTGTACTATTCAGGCTTCATTGGACTGCTGAACCATAGTTACTCGTTGGTTTTTTTCCTTCAGCTAAAAGGTGGCAGTGCTTTCCTCTGCTTGGACTTCTTACCTTTCTTCAGTGAGGTCTTGAAGCATCTGACGCTGCTTGATGGCCAGTGCCAATTCATTTCCATCTTACAGACATTTATGCCTTACACTCATTGCTGATGATCGTTCTTGTTCTTGGTCGTGTTTGAGAGGCTTATTACTTAAGATGCCTATGCCAATAAAGCATTCTTCCAGAAGGAAGATACTCAGTAACCAGCCTTTTCGTGCTGGGCCCGTCTTTGCCTTCGCTCCTTGCTCCACCCCCACTCCTTTACAACTATACTCTTAGGCTTAATTTTTTGAAAATATTTATTAAAAAATAAATATTGCACTGGTGGGCAAAATAGACTTTAAACAAACCAACATCTACATGCTTTAGGGAGAAATAGACTGAATGAAAATATGAACAGGAAAACTATCTTGAACTTCCTATAGAATTGTAATGGTGGATTTAGTAGTATCAAGTTGCAAAGAGGTACTCAGTAAACAATGTGTAAAAAAAAAATTGGGTTAATGTGTGAGGTTTGATAGCTTGAAAATATGTTGGTTTGTGATTTCAATATAGTTTCCTGAATTTCAAAATTTTGTTGTGTATAGTGGTGGTTTCTTGTTTTCTGAGTTTTCGTCTGCATTTTGTAGGATTAAATTGACAATTCTGTCTTAATTCCCAAAGTTATTGTATTTCAAAGGTTAACTTATCTTGTGTTGCTCCAGAGACTAGAATTAGGATCCTTGGGTAGAAGTTCAGGGAGGCATATTTTCAATGATTATAAGAAACAATTTTTGCAACAATTTCAAATACTGCCTTGCAAAATAGTGAGCGCTCATTTCTGGAAGTAGTCAAGCAAAGGCAAGAGGACCTTTTGCTTGGCAAATTTCTGCAGTGGGAGGCTTTTAAGTCTCTTCCAAGCCTTTAAGATTATGTGATTTGGGAATAATTGTATTTCCCAGCTGGTAAAACATTTTAGGGTCCTCTAAAGACAGATAACATAAAGATAAAAATTTGGTGAAATTTTTTTTAATTTTATTTTTAAAAATATTTTTTAGTTGTAGATGGACACAATACCTTTATTTTATTTATTTATTTTTATTTATTTTTATGTGATGCTGAGGATTGAACCCAGTGCCTCACATGTGCTAGGCAAGTGCTCTACCCCTAAGCTACAAACCCATCCCTGGTGTAACTTATTTTTATGTGTAGTACCTAAGTGTACATTTTGGAAATTCATTCACATACCATCAGACCATCTTAATTCACTCAACTAGTAAACTTTTTTTTTTTTTTTTTGTACCAGGTGCTTAACCAGTGAGTCATATACCCAGGCCTTTTTATTTTGAGACAGGGTCTCCCTAAATTGTTGAGGTCCTCACTAAGTTGCTGAGGCTGGCCTTGAACTTGCAATCCTCTTGTCTCAGGCTCTTGAGTTTCGTTGGCATTACAGGCCCAATCCACTATGTTCAGCTATTCGTAAACTCTTTATTTAGTTTGCGGTTACCAAACCTAATTTTTGGCAAGGGAAGTAATTGAGGGTTAATAGATGCTTATAAGTAAACTCACAAATATTATAGTAACTTTATTTGGGGGGGGTATTGTTGAAAACAGTTTCTGCCGTACTAATATATTCATTGTTATTATCAGATAATATCAGTTTTCTTGAGGTGAATGATGAATATGAAATAAGGGCATATCTACTTGATATGACTTTATTAGTCAAACTGGGTTACTTTAGAATCTTGAGGTATGCTAATAGTCACTTTTGACACAGGTAATTATATTGATCATGTGGTAAACTCAGTTGTTAAAACTAAATGACGGATACTTCTATATCTAGTAGCCTGGTTTTTCAGTTGTTTATTCAATGTGCAAAGGAATCCTGGCACTGGTGTGGATGAGTAACAATCAGCATTGTTAGCATGACTGATAAGCCAGTTATCTTTCTTTTTAAATTGTCTTCCTATTTGACTTCATCCAGAGCTATGTTCAGCTGAGTTGTCTCGTGGTGCTTGTGCTCCAGTATTTAACTGCTCTCTAACCTGTATATATTTTGCTGTTGTATCTGCTGTTGCATGAATAGGTTGGGTTGTCTTAAAGGAGAGAGAGTGCAAAAGAAATCCAGAGAAGCATAATAGGAGATTTAAATTTGTAAGGCTGGAAATTTAATTTTTTAAATTAATTACTTTAAGCATTCTTTGATTTTTTTTTTACTGTAGATTATGGGGCATTTTAATATTGTCATCTTGTCAGTATTCTTTCACTAGGCACTAAACATACTATTGATCACCTACTAGGTGAGAATGACCATTATACTATTAAGATATAACGTTTAGGACTGGGGCTATAGCTCAGGGGCAGAGCGCTTGCCTAGCATGCATGAGGCACTGAGTTTGATCTTTAGCACCACATAAAAATAAACAAATAAAATAAAGGCATTCTGTCCATCTACAACTTTTTTTAAAAATTAAAAAAGGATGTAACATTTACCTGTCCATCAGGATCTTAAAAGTCAAGAAAGAAAGAACAAGGTGTAGAAAAGGAAAGTGAGGAGCATGATATCAAATATGCATGAAGAACCAGTTCATACTTCTCAAAAGTATCATCTGAATTCAGATTAAGATAAGTTCACTGAAGTCAGTAGTAATAAGTGTAATGATATTTAACATTTCTCGGGTTCTCATCTATGTCAGACATCGTGCTAAGTGCTTTATGTATGTGAATTAACTCATTTACTCCTCACAATATGCCTAAGGAAAGTTGCTCTTATCCCCATCTTATAGATGAAGAAACTGAGACAACAAGATAATAAGGGATGTGCCTCGAATTATTCAGTCAATGATTGAAGTTGTAATTCAAACCTAAGTTGTAACTTTAGAATCTTCCATCTTTTCCTCTTCAGTGATCAGGGATTATATCATAGTAAAGTGGCTCTCAAACTGGTTCTTGAAGGATAGGTCTTCAAGACCTATTTTATAGGATTTCTATAGGCCAAGATAGAAGCTGGGAAAAGAGTATCACAGATATATCTCAAGACTTTTAGAGACAGAATAGTACAAAGCGTATCTAAAGGAATTAAACAGATCAATTTCAGGAAGGATTTCTTTGGAAAAATAGTAAGAGATAAAGGTGAAGAGCTAAGGCTGGGAAGCTTAGGTGTTTGAACTTGTTGGAGTCCTTAGAAATTTTGAGCATATATTACAGTTGTATTTTAAGAGAATTGATCTAGGAGCTATGAACCAGAGGGATATTAGGAAGAGAGCTCATGAGTGAAATTAGTTTAGTTAGAGGCTGTTGTAGCCCAGGTGGGCAATAATATAGGCCTGAACTGGAATTTTGAAGTAGTATAATGGAAAGAAAAGGACAGATACTAGTGATTATGGGAAAGACTCAAAGAGTTATGGACTGATTGAATATAGGGGTGGGGGAATCAGAGATGCCAACTGTTGGGATTTATTGTTCTTCCTAGAAAGTAGATGTTTCCTAATTAATAGAAGCAATTTAAGAATTCTCTGGGTGGGGGTAGTGGTCGTGTGTAGCTTATAGTAAGAGTGTGTGCATAGCGTATGAGCAGCCCTGGGTTCAGTCCCCAAGAACACCACCAACAAATTCTCTCCCTCTATTCTTTTTTTTAAATATCATTGTTTATTAATTTTTTTTTTATGTGGTGCTGACAATCTAATCAGTACCTCACACATTCGAGGCAAGCACTCTGCCACTGAGCTACAGCCCCAGCCCTCTCCCTCTGTTCTTTCTGGTATGAATTTTATTTTGGTAATTTGTTTTTGACTTTTACAAATTTTTTATTTTTTATATTTTTATTTTTAATTGACATATAATTTTGCATATTTATGGGTATAGTGTGATAATTTGGAACACATATACAATGAGTAATGATCAAATCAGGATAATTGGCATATATATTACCTCAGAAATTTATTATTTCTTTGTGTTGAGAACATTCAAAATCCTCTCTGCTAGCTATTTTGAAATATACAATGAATTATTGTCAGCCATAATTATCCTATTGTGTTATAGAATATTAAAAGATATTCCTCATATCCATCTGCACCCCTATTCCTATTAACCATCATATCCCAATTCCCCTTTCCCAGATTCTGGTAATCACTCTTCTTTCAACTTGCAGGAGATCCACTTTTTAGTTTCTTTTATATAAGTGAGAACATGACATCTTTGTCTTTCTGTGCTTAACTTATTTTATTTATTTAACATAATGTCTTCAGTTTCATCCTGTTGCTGCAAATGACAGAATTTTATTCTTTTTTTAGCTGAATAATGTTCTGTTGTGTATATATAACATATTCTTTATTCCTTCATTTATTAACGAACACCTAGATGGATTCTATATCTTGGCTGTTGTGAATAGTGTTGCAATAAATGTTTGTGCAGATATTT